TTTATCAAACATAGGCTAAGCAGCCTAGGACCACTCAGCTCCAGGCGTTGGGGCAAATTTATACTCTCTTGCTATCTTTTTCCTTTTACTCTTGGCATAGTGGATAAACTTCAGATTCACTTTTTCTTGCAAAGCAATGGTACGATCACATCCTCAACTTTGAGATGTATAATAGGCATAGACACAAAGAGAAAGAAGTAGAAAGCTCAAATATGACATGAGACCTAAATAATGTTCTATAACAGTTTTCATCAAAGCTCTGCATTAAGGGCATTGGGACGTTTTCTCAGATTAATAAAAACAATACTTCTTTTACCATTTGACCACAATCTTTGTCCATGAGATCCCTTGTCAGGGGATGCCAGGGAGGAAGAAGGAAGAGGAGTAGTAGCCTGAAGACTCATGTAGGTCTTTTACATTTAAAACAAACAAATTATCAAAACAAAAAGCAAACAAACCAAAAAACTCTCCACTTCAACCCTGCATTAAGCAATCCTCATGGAGTCTAGTTCCTGCGTGTATTTTTCATATCCCTCAGTCATTGGCTTCCATCCTTATATTCCACTGAAACTTCAATCATTAAGTTATTCAATGGCCTCTACTCAAGTCCAATGGCCACGTTTTAGTTCTTAACCCATTTGATCTTTCTGGATGATCCCTTTTTTTTCCTTTTTTTTAGAAACCCTCTCCTCCCTTTGACTTCTTGGGAGCACTTTCTTTGTTCACTTATATCGTGAGTCAAAACTTTAATCTCTACAGGTGCCGAGCCCATGACATAAATGAGTGAAGTGGTCTCTTCTGTTTTATTGCTTTACCACAGATGCATTTTGTACATATATACAACATGTAAGAACATTCTTATCTCCCATAACCAACATGGTCTTGCCCATTGTTCTTGAAACTTGTGGCCCACATGTCCTCTCTTTCGTTTTCCCACTTTAGATGGAAATATGGATACAAGAAATGTTTCACTTTCCTCTTATCTATACTGTAAGAAAATTAGCTGCCACTGAGATGATAAACAGCACCAGACACTTGGTCCCAGGGCAATGGATTATGGTGGAGACTAGCAAACTAGAGCCCACATACCTTATCTAAAGAGGAAGTTTCTATCCAGCTCCAGATTATTGTTCCCCAGTCTTCTTATTTGCAACAGATGCTAGAAATCCAGATTTTATGTAAATCCCTGAATTTTTAAATGTTGGCAACTCTATGTAGGCCAAACACAATACCTTTAAATGTGAGAGTTGCTAGTTTGCCTCCTTTGTGGTCAGAACAGATCGTCTCTTCACTGACTCCCTTTTTGTCAAAGTATCTCCTGGTTCCTTCCTGTGCCATATTCTCATTCCAAATGCTCTTCTTAAGTAAGTCCATCTCCTTTGCCACATCTTCAACCCATAATACTTTGTTCCAACTGTATTCTCACACATTATATTCCTCCTTGTATAATTGCTATTTATGAAGTTGTCTTATCTGCCTCATATGCTAATAAGTATATTATGGGTAATGACTGATTCTTATTCATATGTGCATTCCACATAGCGCCTAGATCCATTTCTTTGCACATGAAAGTTTTTCATAAATGCATCTTGTTTCATTAATATTTAGATTCTGAATTTCTATAAAGAAAATACTTTTAAAAAATGGCTACCATGTCAGATGGTCTCAGGATTATGCAGACATCCCACTCTGTAGATCTCCATTTATATAAGGCAATAGTTTCTTTCTCAAATTCCTGCAAAATTCATGTAGTGCCAAAAGCAGCTTTGTTCTCAAGGACATTAGTTTTGCTAAAGGCAGAAAGTATTTTGTGAAAAAGTAAAAATGAGTCCCAGGGTCAAATAAATTGGAGAAATTCTGTTGAACAATGTTTAACAGATTTCTTATTGTTGCTCTTCTCAGAGTTTTTGCACTGCTAACGTGTACTGTGATTATCCAAAGGAGTAACAGAGTGCTTTCCAAATGTTTTTGATGCTGGAACCATTTTGTGGGAATCATTATTAAGATCTCATGAGACTGGAACACAGTTTGGCTTAAGAGTCTAAATGCTTGAAATGTGAGGTCTTCTATGATTTGTTACCCCTCTGGACTTTCAGTGTGTTTCCTACTAAACAAATCCTCCAACCATTCCAGAACTCACGTTATTCTTCTTTTCCCAAACATGTGCCTTCCTACTTTAGCATATTTTCTCTCAAAATGTACATGGCCTGAAATATCACTCGACCTTCACTAAATCTACTTAAAAGTTATCTATTCTCCAAAACCCAGTTAAATACATAGTTTTCTAAGAACTCATTAAAAATCATTCCTGCCCTTGATGATCTCTCTTTCCTCTAAGCAGGAGCTACATTAATTGTCTTTATCAAGCCTTTGATGTGTAAGATAGCCTATGCTAACTGTGTTTTTTATATTCGTCTGCCTGTATCTCCACTCTCCCCTTTAGATTATTTATCTTCTCAAGAACTGTGCCTTTTGAGTCAATTCATTCTTCACAGAGGAAACTCCATCAGTGATCTTCATGATATAAAATAGAATAATTTGGTACCTAAAATGCATATGATTAAAGAGTCTGGAAGCGACCGCTGGTGTAACTGAAGTTTTAGTATAGCACAATTTTCTCAGCAACCAGGAGTACAACACAGCTTTTTGTCTCTCCTGTAGAAAGAGTGAAGACCTAGAATACTTTCAAAGTAACAAAGATAGAGGAAAGAACCCTCTAGAAGGGAAAACAAAATACCTTACCTAGAGGACAAGAAGCACTCTCTCAGGGAGAAAATGTAGGTCCAGACATCTTACTCACAGCCTCAGCAATTCTAAGAAGTCAAAGACTGTCATGCGGAGTAGTCACACAATTACCCCTTGCCGCAGTCCAGGCTGCTTCTCAGGGGATTTAGTATATGTTTTTTTAGAGTTTAGTATATGTTGTTTAGAGTCAAAACTGAAAAAGCACCACCTGGGGTTTTGAAAAGGCCAATCAACGAATGTTGGAAAGAGCTCTCACGCTTAGAACAATTTTCCTTCTACCTGCAAGATTTGGGGGTCTATTCAAAACGAAACACCTGGGGGCTATGAGTGAGGACTAGGAATGGAAAAAGCCAAAGTGTGTATCATCAAGACCCCATATAAGGGAGCTAGCCAGGGAGGGGATCACTGGGGCAGGCATTGGAGAGGGCCCCAGGACAGCAGGGACCCTAGGAACAAACTGAAGACCATCGGGAGCCAAGCGTCATAAGTGAAGCCCTCACTGTTTTTCTCATAGCTGTTATATCCTGGGGAAAGAAGGTTATTCCAGAATGCAGCACTTTACTTCCCAATAAAATAAATGTGGCAGAGTCTAGAAATTTATTTTGCTTACAGTTTGATTTCCTGGCCTGTTAATTTCTCAGAAAGAAGAAAAGGAATTTGAAAGTGAGAAATATTTACTTATGTGGGAATAAATATGCATGAAAATGCTAAACAAAAGTGCAAAACCAGTATTTATGCCCATTTGCATGAATTTTAAAGCAATATGAATCAAGAAAGCTCTAACATTATCATTCTGACTCTATAATGGGACAAAGAAAAAAGTAATATATACATTTAAAATTTATTCTATGTATGAATAGATGTGCATTATGTGGATGAATTTCCTTATGAAATAATTGACTTTTTTTTCTTGTAAACCTAATAAAAACAGTTTGAGATCACCAAAATTAAGAGATCAAGCTAGTGCATAACAAAGTGAAACATTCTAATCTGTATATGTAAATGAGGTAACAGCGACACATTCAACATCTGTTAAACTCACAGCATATAATATTCATTTCAGGAGGTTTGAAATACAGGCATGAGTATTATAAAGAGGAATATACCTGCCTGAGAGAACCCTATGTGACATTTTTCATTTCATATTTACACTCCACTATATGTGTAAATAAGCAGGTATTTTAATATCTGTACCAAATGAAAAAATATATTGCACTAGTTTGAGTTTTGATGCACAAGGTTTATATATGTAGTTTAATTTGAAGAAGAAAATGATGGAGAGCCTGGAGATTATCAAAGTTATACCTGGAGAAATGAGAAATTATCACCTTAGCCACTTTCCCTGTTGAAGAGAAGTCCATCTCTGGATGATAGAAACTGCATCTATTTTTCTATCAACAGAAAATACACCATTGCCTGGTAAATAGTTACATATTATAAAATGTAGATTATCTCTAATTAAAAAAAGAAAGATATTGTCTTTCAAAGTCTGGGAATGTTATCTTGTGATTTTGTCACAAATGATCTTTATTTAATTGTTCCATTTTAAGGATTATTTATCTTGTTTTCACCTCTTTGATTGCTTCCTTCTAGGGCTTTATAAATTGGAACCACTATTAGCAACATCACTAATTTCCTTTCAAGATCATCTGAGCTTTCAAGCTGAAACACTGCACTCAGTTTTATTTTTCGTAAAATTGAAATGGTTTTAGATGGCTAATTTTTATCATCTTTAATTCAAGCCCCAAAGGTAGCCAATTTTTTTTACAAATAAGTAATTGCTTGGACTGAAAAATTTAACTACAATATTTCAAAGGAAAGATAATGTTGAAATGGTGTTGGTTATAATAATTAAACCCTTTGTTCAATCAAAAATAGACTCTTTAGCTAAAGGCCACTAAACTTCATGAGGTGTATAACAAATCATGTTTCAATTTATTGAACACAGATTTTTTTTCCTTCCCTGTGTTTAGTATTTGTCATTTAGATACATAAATAGAGAATTAGATTCTGAATAAATTAAGCATAGCAATAACTTGTGGCAGTTCTGATAAATGATACATATATGCACTGTGATTACATGAAAGGAGAAGGCCATCACACATAGGCTGATAAATTGCTCTAAGTCCGGAAAGGGTTTGATCTGCAGACCAGCTCTCTTTTCTTCCTCACTCAAGCAAAAACATTAACTTTTTAGCTAAAAAACCTTTACCTAATATTTCAAATGTACTTTAAAATACTGCTAGGTGCTGGGTGATGTTCAATTATTAGGATTAAACAAAAAACAAGATGAATATTATTCAAAAGACAGAACTGAAAACTAAGGGTATATGACACATTTCATTGAGAGGGAGGAGACTTGCCAGATGAAGTGGGGAGGAAATAATATGCTGTAAAGACTGATAAAATTGGAACAGAAAGCTGTGACTGTATTGCGGAGGGGTAAGGATGAGGTATTTAATCCATAAACAGCGGGAGCTGCCTTAGTCGGTTCAGATTGCTATAATAAAGTATCAGAGACTGGGTGGCTTATAACCAATAGAAATTTATTTCTCACAGTTCTGGAGGCTGGAAGTCTGAGATCGGGTGCGAGCACGGTCAGATTCTGGTGAGGACGCTCTTCTGGCTTGTAGACGGCCAACTTCTTGTATCCTTGCCTGGTGGAGAGTAGAGAGAGAAAGCAAGCTCTCCCTTGACTCCTACAAGCGCACTAATCCCATCCCTGAGGGCGCCAACCTCCTGCCCTCATCTAATCCTAATTACCTCCCAAAGGCTCCCCCTCCTAATGCCATCACATTACAGGAGGGGAGGGCTTTAAGATGTGAATTTGGGGGGACACAAACATTCAGTCCATAGTGGGCCACTGAGGATTTTGCGTAGGGACTTGTGTGATCTAGACAGCATTTTATGAAGAGTGATCTGGTGGCTTTTAGCAGAAGAGACTGTATAGAGATGGTCCAAACGTAGGCATACACTTTAAGTGTACCCGTGGTGGTTCAAGAGTGAAATGAGAAGTTGCTGAACACAGGAGATGGCAGCGGTCGGGAATAGGATAGGATATTTTGAGAGATATTGTGGAAGAAACATAGACAGGGCTTTCTATCGAATACATATGAATGTTTGAGACAATTCTAGAATTAACAACCAGAGAGGTGGATTTGGGGACAAGAAAGGCTATTTCTGCATATCAGTTGAGATCCTCTAAATTGTGCTACAGAAACAGAGTCCCCAAATCTCCTATGCTTAAAACACCAAAGTTGTTGTTGTTATTGTTGTTTGTATTTCTCACTCTACAGGTGCATGGTGGCCAGCTGGGTCTCTGCTCCTCATTGTCAGCCTCCCTCAGGGACATGTGGCACTGCTGACAACTGCCGCAGAAGGAAGAGAAGGGGGAAGCACACATTGTCTCTGAAAGCTTCCACATGGAAGGGACACATGAGAGTTCCTGTCACATTTCATTAGTTAAAGCAAGTCACAAGGCTCTGCCTGGCTCCAAGGGGATGGGTACTGGAGATTAGTAGTACAACTTACCACTTTCTCTTCTTGTAATAGGCCTGGGCATTTGATGTATAAGAATAGTGTTTTTTCCTAGATTATGTTCTACAAAACATGAAAAGCAAAGCTATTTCCTTCTTGTTTTTGATGACAAAAAAATAAGTACACATGGACCAATGTAGAAGGAAATAGAAATGTAATTAAATGATAAAGAATGTCTCTAGCTTTGTACAGTTGGTTTTATAAATATGCAATCTCCAAAGTCTTTGGTATTTCCACTTCATAGGGCTTTCTACAAATTAGTTTCTTATGGCTGCTGCAACAAATTTCCACAAACTTGGTGGTTTAAAACAACATTTATTCTCTTACAGTTCTGGAACTCAGTTCAAAATCAGTTTTAGTGGACCAAGAGCAAGGTGTCAGCAGAGCCGCATTCCCTTGGGAGGCTCTGGGGGAGAAAAGTTTACCTGCCTCTACCAGCTTCTGGTGGCTGCCAGCCTTTCTGGGATCTTGGTTGCATCACTTTGGGCTCCACCTCCATGGTCACATTGCCTTCTCCCCTTCTGTGTGAATTCTCCTTCCGCCTCCCTCTTATAAGGACTCATGATTACACTGGCCCACCCAGATAATCCAGGATAATCTCCCCATCTCAAGATCCTTAACCTAATCACATCTGCAAAATCTCTTTTGCCATATAACATAATATTAACAGGTTCCAGGCATCAGTACTTCAACATCTTTGGAGGTCATTATTCGGCCTACCATACTCATCATGGCACCGTATGTTATTTCTTGTGGCTCCCAATGTGTTTAGGTAAGGACATGGAAGAAAAGCAACCAAAGCACTATTAGCATAAGCCTGTATTCAAAAATTCCAGGCATGAGAAAATTCTAAAGAAATATTCTGACTTGGGAAGGAGGGTATAACTTTGTATAGGGCTTAAGGAGAAAAAGGTCAACTAAAATTCATCTAGCTTTGGGAATAGTTGGTCAAGCATGGTGCTGGAAGAGGGAAGATTGCTTCTGTAGATTAGCAGCCATTGTTTGCACAATATAGACTTTACCCAGATGGGTGGAAACAGTCAGAAGCTAAGATCGTGTTCAAGATCAACCTGCAGGTGCAGAACAGCTGCAGGTAAAGAGGTTAGGCGTGAGGGCAACAAATAAAATCCTCAGGTTTTCCACATTTCTTACAAATATAGCAGAGAAAAAAATTAATCTATATTTGTTTATAGACCTCCAGTTGTAGAATGGCCATTGTCTAGGGAAGGAAAGGATTTCCTCTACTGTCCAGGAAGTTTCTGTGTAAGCTTGACTCTTTGCTCTCTGAACCTTTTGTCACATTGTTCTGAGGAGAATATAAAGAAATCCAGAAAAGTCAGATATTTATACACTAGAAAAGGCAAAGAGCTTTCTGTGCAAGAAAATAATAGATCCAGCAAAGCAGACAGCAAAGGGAGGAGTAAGGTAGGTTGAAGAACAAATGGGAGAAATGGGGAAGGATAATTTTAAATAATTTTCCTTCGTTAGGAACATAATTTTTATTTACTTCTTTCCTAAAGACTTTAGAAAATATATAGACTGTCAAGACTAGATGCAAATTCCCTACAGAGAAACTTCCAGCTAATTACCTGGCCTGACACACTAAAATCAGTGGAATAACATATATTGCAAATTCCAGCAACTCTTCCCTTGAATATTCTAACGTGACATATTGGAGGTTATATTCTTCCTCATGGGGCAGGTGTTTTCCAATTGTAATTTTACCTTAGGTTTTCTTTACATCTAGAAACCCAATAGTGTATGCAAAATCATTTTAGCTACTTAAACATATTGGAAAGACCACGTCAGAACAACCAAGCAAGGACCTTAATGGTTGTTCAACAAGCATCATAATTAGAGCCAACAAGAAAAGCAGCAAAAGATCAAATGATAAATTTGTTCATGTAAATAAACAAACTGTAAGATTTCATTTCTTCTTAGAAATCCTACATGTCCTGAATCCAAAAGATGCTAGTGAACGTTACATGCTAATCACATTCTAAACAATCTTGTTCATTATCCCCAAATCATCACACGAAATATTGTGTGGCGAGTAAAGATGATCAGACTCTGCCTAGGTTTGGAGGAAAAGTCCACTCTGGGAAGTATCTGGATCACTGGGATCTTCAACTCTAAGTGATAACATCTAATATCCTTTTGGATTTTTCTAGAGATTTGTTTTCAGCACTTGATAGTCATTATCTTATGTGGAGCTCACAAAATCCTCAAGAGTTAGTCAGAGCAGCCATTGCATCCTGTTTGGTAAAGAAATAGTGCTCAGAAAAGTGATGTCATTTTTGTTTACTGCAGAGCAAGTTCTAGAACCTAGGTGTCCTTCCACCACACTGTCTCATAACTAACTCTAAAAAACAGGCATTGTCTGGTTTGGGCTGGCAAATAGCTCATATTTACAAAGTCCCAAGGGTATACATCAATTTCACAACCATTATAACCCAAAAAATTCAGCTGAAAATTGGTCTCTGAATATAAAGGCAGCGGTGGTCAGAAGTAAATTCTGAGCTGGTAGGCTGCAGAAACCCACTCTTGTCTCCTGTGCAGAAGACCCTTATCTGCTCTGATTCCCCCATGCAACTCGAGTGCCCATTCTTACCACTCAGGCTCTGAATCCAAACAAAACGCAAGAAAAATGTTCAAGCAGCCTTTGCCAACGGTTAGTTATTGTAGCCTGTTCATATGCCACAGAAAGCCTTTAGCAGACTGTTCTAACATTATTAAATATTTGTAAGAAAATGGGAATTAAAAAAATTTTTTAAGAAAAATCCTTATTTAATAACACTTTGCATTTGGGGTATTACGTTGTATTCCCAAGAACTTTTTTTGGTCATTTTTCACATTAAAGTCTTGAACTTTCCCAATTAAACTGTGGGTGTGAAAACAAGTCTATGCATAAATAGCAAATAACTGCAAGTGGGTGACAGCTTTAACATGAGGTGGACATTCATAATCACTTATTGACCCCACTTACATACACACATACCACACACATAATCTCCGCCTCATTCCCTACTCTATTTATTGTGAAATATATTTTCTGCATCGATTATTATATACTAATGGGCTGTGTAATATCCTTTCCAGATTTCACTGTAGGTATTTTATAAAAATGAATAGATTCAATTATAGAAAAAAAAATTACGTCCTTGCCTACTGCTGTTTATTTTAATTGTAAGTAGTTAAGAATTTACAATTTGCAGTCTTTGGCTTGGATCTAAGCTATATGAGGGATCTGATTCCCACTGGTAATTCTTTGTGATTACTTTTGCATTATAGGTAGGCTAAGATGCGAGTTTCTGAGATTATGTTGTACACATTCCATTCATAGCACATTAATAAGCATTTGCCATCTTCAGATGTTGCAGATGGAGAAAGAAAGTTTCATTCATTATTCATCCACTCCACAAAAATTTATTGCTTGCCTACTATGTACCTGGCACTTTTTTGGGCACTGATGATAGATCAGTGGAAAAAAAAAAACAAAACATAAACATCCCTGCTGTGACTAAGTATCCATTCTAATTGGGGAAGGAAGACAATAAATAAACAAACAAGTAAAATACATACTATGTCAGATGGTCATGCATACTAAAGGAGAAACGAAGGCACAGAGAGAACTGGGGAGTCCCAATGGTGGATAAACTGTTGCAATCTTAAATAAGTTGGTGGCCTTTCTGAGAGGGTATCATTTCTGAATAGACCCAAGGAAGATGAGGAAGCAAGCCGTACAGATCTCTTGGGAACATTGCAGGTAGAGGAAACAATAAGAGCAAAGGCCCTGAGGCAAAAATGTGCACCGTGTCTTAAGGCTGACCTAGAGGTGGTATGCCAGGAGCAGAGAGAGCAAAGGGAAGAGTAATAGGAGTCCAGGGCAGAGAGGTAATGATGAACATTATATAGAGTTTGGTAGGCTGCTCCAAGGACTTTGCTCTTTACTCTGAGTGAAACACAAAGACATGGTTTAATTTACATTCATTTGAAATTTGATGTAAGTCCAGTGATGCTCCAGGCAACTGTCCTCTGCATGGTGATTCAGTGATCCAGCCTGCCTCTATTTGTGGCTTTATTATTTCAACACTCAGCTGACACATTCGCTGACAAGTGG